GTTGCAAAAAAGTATTTTTTATTTGTATTTTAAATACTTGTATATGAAATACTTAGCAACTCTGCAAAGGAAAGTATATAACTATTTAACAAGATAAAGCTTATATAACTCACTATTTGTTCACCCAAAGAAACTATATATACAAATCAACGGAAGTCCTAGGAGTTTCAAGCTTTAACTTAAATACTAAAATAGAATGGGTTACAAGTTTTTTTTATTTATCTTACATACGTATACTCTTTTTATAAAAAAGAAGTAGTAGAAAAACTTTATTATTAAAAATTCTTATTTTTCCGAGCGCCAACTGAAAAACTAAGATGAGGGGGCTGAAACTTTGCCAAAATGTATTTTTTTTTGTGACCGACAATGAAATTTTCATATGGGACTGAAAGAAAAAAATAGTCGTTTTATTTGACACAGTCTAATGTACTTACAGACATATGTATGTGCAAAACATTTTCAAGTGTATTACAGTACTATTATATATATTTACTTATTGTTTTTGTAATGTCATGCCTTCCATATTCTTTTCAAAGCGCTTAACTAATGCGGCGCGCAAAAAAGTGACATCTTAAACAAACTAAATTCATGCATTATTGAATGGGTAATACTTGGCAGTAGAACCTGCGCACAAGTGCCCACAAAAAACACACATATATACATATTCGACTACTAGAACACGTGGAATTTTAAGCAGGATATGTGCTGCCAAATGAAGCATTGCATAATAGAGTAGACTTCCTGTGTAGCACGCGCAACTGAAGCATATCCTTAGACAGGCGCGCGCCGCTTAAAATAGAAATGCCAGTAAGTATTTGAATTAAATGGACGGCATTCACTTGTGATCTCGTAAAGAATGGTGGTCGCACGGGCGCTTCCAAATCAAAACAAGATCGTAGCAGAAATGCTATGAGCAATTACAAAAACAACAAAAAACTATAACAAATGAAATTGAAAACTAAGCGACGAGTAAGTAGACTTCTTTTAAATAAGCAAAAACAAAACAAGAAAAAAATTAAAGGAAAGGAAAGGACAATGAGATTTACTCAAGTGTTCGCAAAAGACGCATGGCATAAAAGTGAAAACAAATCAAAGTTGAAAGACGAGAAATAAATGCATACATACATACATACGGACTATGCACATATCTCTATGCAAGTGAAGCATTCAAAGACGCTGGCAGCGATTGAATGCATGAATAAGTGTACGAATGAAATTGAGAGCAATATCCTTCCGGTACCGTCCACCTTTGACAGTGAACGCCAAACACAGGATACGCGCGATCGCGCACAAAACGTCAAGAACAAGTGTTTTCCGCTGCTGGTCCACAAAACGAAATGCTGAATGTTAAATGCATTCATACGCAAAATTTAACAATGATCGCTCAGACAAAAGCAGGACGATTTTTTTTAGATTTTTTGGTTTGTTTATTTTTTTTGCGATCACACTATTGAAAAATTGGAATCTATAAGTCCAGTCGCAGTCGAGCTTTCTTTTTGTTTTTTTTTTTCCTTTTCATTTTTGAAGCAAACGCAAACACTTGCAGTCGCACCGGAAGTGGGTGATTTCTTCTTCCTTACATTTTAACTTCTTTTTGTATGACTCAAACTGAATATTTCCAATAGTCCCCCAATTGTTGAGCGCTGATTTCGTACACTTCCTTGCTCTTCCCTCTTTCATTTATTATATTTTTTGTTATTGTAGTTTTTTGTTTTGTTAAAATAATTGTTGAAATGCCTGACTGTGTGACTGCATGACTGAGCGGTTTTTTTTGTGGTTTTAAGTTTTTAACAATTATGCACAACAGAACAAAGGCATCGCCTATAGTACTTACCTTACTTGAATAATTGTAAACTACAATGCAATAATTTGCATGTACATATGCCCTGTAGGGAAATTCACAAGTACCATGCTCAGACAAATGGGTGTTTCCATGAAAATGTAAACCGAAAATGCAAGTAAATGAGTTCAAACGACTTCATACTTCGAATTTCGTATTCAGATGTTGAAAAGAGATTAAGAAAACGCGAAACGGTTGAGAGATAAACTGAAAAAAAAATAAAATAATTTAAATAATTATGTGTTATACATATTCGTAAAATAATGTATGGAGGAAAACTCTGTCACGACCGATATAGCACGTCCGTTATGCAATTTTAATTCAAAATAAAACCAACAACGAATTGCTTCTATTTATGTAAGTATGAATTGGTTGTAATAGTCCGTAATTTGACTTTATTTAAGGAATGTTAAAGAAAAAAAACTCACTGGATTCGCAGAGTTTTGCTCATTTTTACATGTACTTTGAAATCACTTTGGTTTTTTTCACGTCCGTTATGACTTCGTTTTCATCGATTTTCCCGACACCAGAGTTCCAAGCGTACCTAATTTTTTTTTACAAAACTAAAGGACGGTATACAAACTACACAACGGCATTTTTTCTTTTGTACGCGGGTTACGTTTTCTGATGATTTATTTAACGCTAAAGTCGTACGAATGGCACGTCGGACATCATGGAAACACCCATATTGGTTCCACGTTTTCTTCCTTGTAGAATCCCGATAATTCGTAATCCCAAATGACCGGGCGGCCGCTGTGGCTGGGTGGTTAGAGGTGTGTACTACCAATCCGTAGGACCTAGGTTCGATCCCTGTGCCGAGGAACATCTAAATTATGAAAAGGCTTAAAACTCTAAGTCCCTTCATTTGTGATTTAATTAATTAATAAATCCCAACGGCTTTTTACCCTCCATTCCCGCCCAACCGACACGAGGGGCGCAGTCCGCATGACGTACGGAACCTGTTTTTTTTTTTTATAGTTTTTTGGTGCCGAGTACTGGAAACAGGAGTTTGTTAAGTGTCGAGATCTAAAACTATTCAGCTACAGAATCAAATTCATCAGCTGATTGGATATGCTAAAGATAGTATTTCAATTATTGAGAGTGGAAATAATAGTTTTCTTTATAGTAAAAATCGAGTCCAATACGTCAAACGTGCTGGAATGACAGTTAAAATCTTGACATAAACCACGGAATGATTCGTTTAGTTCAAAATTAGTTTTGCATGGCTTTAAAAATAGAGGTCGAAAGTGTCTTGACACTCGAGAAGGAACATTAAAATTTACCTCAGCCAGGAGGGCCGGGCTATTAATCAAGCCTGTCATTAATTTTTACGATAAATATTATACCCAGCATTTCTCTACGACTTGCGAGTGTAGGCAAATTTATGAGCTTTAGACGACTTGTGTAAGGGGGGAGATTGTAATCTGAATCCCAGTTAAAATTACGCAATGCAAAAAGCAAGAATTGTTTTTGAATTGATTCAATCTTTCTGAATGAACTTGGTAGCGGGGATTCCAAACAATAGATCCGTATTCTAGTATAGGTCTAACTAAACTGGTAAAAAGAGCTTTTGTAACATAAGGATCTTTGAACTCTTTTGACCATCGCCTTACAAATGCAAAAACGCCTTTGGCTTTATTGACTGTAACATTAATATGATGGTTGAAATTGAGTTTGGAATCCATTGTGATACCAAGATCGACAAAATTGGATACCTGCTCCAGATTATAATTTGATATTGAATAAACAGCCGGTTGAACAGCCCTCCGAGAGAAACACATAACTTTACATTTTTGAAG